AGTATGTCTTTGATCACTAGAGAACTACTACACTCTGTAAAATGAATAGTATTTTACTGTAAAAATGCATGAAATGTCTGGTTAGGTCTTATACAGTTTCCCCCTGTATATAGTACAGGAACTTACTGATAACCTATTAACATTTTTTTCCATAGCGTTTTTACAATATTTCACAGATAAAATTACATAACACTTTTTACAGTACAGTAAAATTTACTACTGGAAAATTCATAGAGAACAAAAAAAAGCTAATTCTTGCTAAAGTGCACAAGACTATGTCATGAGTTGTTTTGTTACACCTGCCAATTAAATTCTACAATAACTAACCATTATTCTCATGTAAAAAATAAAATAAAAAAATAAAAAATTGTGTTTTTATTCGGAGCACAACCGGGGACTCCAATTCGTTTCGCTCAATGCGTAACAATAATATCAGCTCAGACAAGTTTTGCTCATTTTGCATGTTCTCACAAGCCCTCGTCAGGCAGACATTCTTACATGAACATCTATGTTTAGGATTAGTATAGTAACATGAGGCAGGAGAGATTACTAACCAGTCAAATGAAGGATGATGTTCATTTTGCTTTGCATTGATGATTCTTTTAAAAGAAACCAGTGTCCAGTCCACCGTCCACCGTCCACCGTCCACTGCTGTATAGCAAATTAACTGCTGTTTAGCAAGCTAAACACGCCTACAAACTCCTAGGAAGATGCATTTGCATTTTGTCCTCTATAAAACCCAAACTTACATAAACAAAACAGTGGCTTTTTACCACTGTGCTTCTACCAAACATCATTTACATAACTTTAGGAACATGTCGAGCATTCTTTACATGCCAATAAAGGCTGGTCTTGTTTGACAAGTTGGAAAATGCAACTAGAGTAACACTTCTCATTCAATTAAATAAAAGGAAAGCAAGAGCTGGTGATTTAAAAATAAATTTACTGTTTTGAGTACTATCTAGACTGTTTCCTGACCTGCGCAAGAAGAGAAAGACTGATTGACCTCCTCTGAATGTAGTTTCAGTGTCTAACTACAATGCATTTTGGATTTTGAATGTGGTAAAGGACTATTTGATTGTGACCTGATCACAAACATGTTATGTTAGGGGCCTGTGAGTTTCACTGTTGTACTGGCAGGCCAAGCTGTGAATGATTTGAGAAGCATTACTGATCTGTAGTGTATGCGCTTGGCAGGAAAGCCACCCAGTAAAAGCCTCGCTTTCAGACTGATCTAGAAGCAACTTCAGAGTTGTTGTGAGCCACAACAACAACTGACAATCACCATGAACTGTTCTCAGATCTGAGGATGTGGTCATTAGGTTTATCTAAAATGCGCAAGGCCTTTGACCACACACATGCAAATTTAAGTTTCTAAGAATGACGCACAGCTCATGTCATTACCAGTCAACCACGTGAACCTAAATGTCATGTCACTTATGGCTATAGAGCTGCAAAAAGTGACAACATGATGGCGTCGCAAGAATTCAAATCCTTGTGACCCGAGCCGTGTTGTCAAATGCAACAGACAGGGAAAAGCAGAAGTCCATTTCTCACGTTTATGAACCTCCAAAACATCTACTATTATAACATGAAATATTAACAATTTAAATGTTGCTTGTAAAACATTTAGCTAACATGCTGGTATTTTTGAATGGCTGTCAAGAGAAAGATGCTCTTTGCAGGCAGATCTTGTAGCTATTAATTTGCAAGCATGCTAAAATCACAAGTTATTTGTACTCTTTGTAAGCTTGTTCTCATCTGTGGTCTACAGACTCTGTGACATCAATGCACATACCACTATTTCTCACTGATCTAGAATCGGACAGCTCAGGTCACATCTCATTCGCAAGCAATTATCACAGGAAGCACATACACAGATCTCAGATATGTGAGAAAAGGCTTGTCTAAATACATCGTGTGTTAAAGGAAGTAGATGCTGTGCAAATATATGTATGGGTGTTTTGCTGTAAATTTTGAGAAAAGCATTTTTAACTTTGAGTTCCTCAATGTGACAAAGGCTTTGCACACCAGTAAGAGCCATTGAGGCTCAAGGCAAGTAGTGAATAAGAACTAGGAAGCACTGATGCAAAGTGGTCTACAGTGGAATAAAACAAGGTTTACACATTAACAATGAAGTTCTTCTATAATTTTGTGATCTGGATTTGTCTGTCTGGTGAGTTCTCTCTGCATTTACATTGCTGTTTTGTCATGTTTAGTAATAAACATGACATGAAGTTTGGTCTTCAGGATGCATTTATTCCTCTACTTAAAAATGATCAGTTACTGGATCGATGGTCTTTGTTATGCCTCTTCATTGTTCAAGTAAATATGTCAATAAGCAACCAGTTTCCTCCTCATGACATGTACATGTGCCAAATGAATCATGAGATGAAGCGGATAATTCTGAACATGTAAACAGTGGGAACCAAAGTCATGTTGATGCAACCTAAATCAGATTTACAGCTACTGCTACAATCTGTTGCCAAAATTTAAGCAGACAAACTGTCTCTGCACAGTCTAAGAGAATCATTCTGTATGTTTTTGAGAATTACATATTTGCTGCTGAGACAACAACAAACAGTGGTCATAGTTTGTCACGATACAACATTACTAAGCAAATGTATGGTGCCATTTCTCTTAAGTCCAGGAAGAGGAAGAGTGTAACATAGGGAGTAACTAGAGTATAACATGGTGCAGCTAGTCTCATCAAATTTGATTCATGCTCATATTTCAATTTCACTGATGTACTCAAACTTTCAATTGCTTAAGTATTTTGATATACATGATTTTGCTTAATAATAGGTGCTATACTGTGCATGCTGTCCTCATATTCCGTCTGTGCAAAACTAGACAGTCAACAAGTAGACAAAAACTGCAATACCGAAAACCATAAAATGTGACGGTAACAACTATAATATTGACAGAACACTATCCCAGCAGACTGTTAAGTTGGTCACACACCGGACGGGATAAGCAGCGCCGCGTCTTTAAAATCGAACACATTGTTTTCTATGAGTGCATGCACACCGGCGGCGCCACTCGCGACTGTGTGCGGCGACACTGTTCAAAATCCTGCCGCGCCACTCACATAGTTTTCCATAAAATTACATTATATTTATCCAAAATTATTGTTTATGTACATAATGACTTCCTAAGCTGGAAGATTGTATTGTGCATCTTTCAGCAAGACATTTGTCTTTCTGAGGCTTGTATAAAGTCTGTATGCTTTATATAGAGAGCTATAGAGTTTGCTCCATTTTGTCACACACCGAACTTCAAACTCATCGATGCCATACTGTTAAAATATTTTCCAGTTTACAAAACCTTTTGAGTCTCAAATGCAGTTTTCTTGAAACTACATAAAAAGCAGTAAGGTTTCTATAACTTTTCACTACTTTCTTGATACAATTGTTACAATTTCCTTATGCGCATACAGCTGAAATAAACTGATTACGAAATAATCCATGTTTGTCATTCGTAAATACACATAAAAAGTGATAATGTGGTGACTTTTCACAAAATCTTTTTTTTTTTCATCCAGGAAACAAAATATTACTTCAACGACAGTAATTGTTTTTTATGTTGCTGTGACAACAATGCTCATCTTTACTGAGAACTAAAAAGCAATTGTTGAGACAACTCAAAAGTCTTACTGCATCAAGTTGCCTTATTTTTTATATTTTCTCAACTATTTATTTTTTGCCATGCATTTTGTTCATTCTTGAAGTGAACTTTTGCCTGTTTGGTGATTAGATTAACTGTTTTGAACTGCTTTCTTGAATTAAACGCAATGCGTACGGTGTGAGATACACATGAGTTGTCCTAGACATGGTGGGGTGTGACTCTACGGTGTGTGATCACCTTTAGATTAGCACACACAAGCTGCCATGTTATGTATAACTACACACTTATCTAAATATATATTCTTAAAACAACTGAAATGAACCTTCTATACATTGTTGTTTATTTCATTCAGCAGGAATTGGGATTTTGGCCACAGATGGAACTGAGATACTTGGACACAGTGGAAAAACTGTCACAATTACATGTTCCCACGACTGGGCTTCAACCAATAGCAAGTATTTCTGCAGAGATCCATGTAAAGACAGTAAAGATATTTTAGTGAAATCTGACCAGTCACCTAGAGGAAGATACACACTGAAGGATTCTAGAGAAGGAACCTTCACTGTGAACATCACTGATCTACAGGAGTCAGACTCTGGGATTTACTGGTGCGGAGTGGAGAGATTTGGTTTGGACTCATTTAAGAAAGTCAGACTGACAGTATCTAACGGTAAGAATGATGCATAGTATTTGGTGTAGATTTAAGGAAGTGTAAAATACTCATCTGCATGTTAATTACTTTTATAGACTCAGACACAAACACAAACAGACCGTCAACTCCTAAACCAGCAGCAAGTTCTCAATCCCCCACAACAAAAAGTTCATTCTCTACATCTTCAGCATCTGGTGACATCACAGCCTCATCTTCATCAACAGGTAACACTGAGCTAATCGAGATATTATGTGCATTTATCTATGTATCTAAACAAATTATGGGATGATGTTGTTCCTCTTTTACTCTTAAAGGATTTAAAGGTCCTGTTCTTTCATCCAGACCAGCATTTAATGAGAACGGTGCACAATCTTCACTCTCCTCAGGTATACAGTTCATTATTATTTCTCTGCACACCACAAAACAAAATTAACAAACACCAGCTGCCATCTCTTTGCGTGCAATACAACATAAAAAAAAAAACACTGTCAGGCAAAATCATGACAGACCTGTGAGGTCTGTATGAACATTTTTTCTAAACCACATTCTTTAAGGATGCTTTCATTCGGTTTTTCATTTAAGGAGATAACTATTGAGATATTACTGCAATGTCAATGTGACTGTTTCGACAACCATGACGAACATCATAGACAGTCTGTCACGTTTCCCCTGTCGCTGTATGTTTTAGGTCCTCTGATGTTCACAGCCGTCGGTCTGACTGTGATGGTGATTATATTTGTGGCGGTTCTCTGTATATGGAATAATCAAAAGAAAACTCACACAGTTCCAATGGTAAGTGAAAATACAATTTTTTTATTATTATTATTACAATATAGCCTACATAATGTCAAATAAATGTGTTTCCCTGTTTCCAATTTAAGTTGATGCTGAAATCCAAGGCACCACTGAGGTAAGAAACACAGAACACTTATTACGTATTATAACTCTTTAAAGTATGTGAATTTACAAGTGTTTTTTTTTTGGCTTATTTGATACTTTGAAAAGTATACAGAACTAAAAAAAAAATGCTCACATCTGAGCATACACAGCATTCTATTCAAAAACGGATGCGCGATAACTCCAAATTTCACCAAATGATGAAATCTACTGTGAATGACATCTAGCAAACAAATAGTTAACAAAAAGCAAATTTATTAATTCATTGTCCCAATATACTTGTAATTTCTGTAATACACATGTAGTTAGTTTCTTTAGTCATTTCGTAATCTTTATTACTGAATCCACAGACCGCTGGTGATTATGAGGAGATCACGGAGACCCAACAGCAGACTGAAACACAAACGAACATCATTTATTCTACTGTCAATAAAAGTTTGGCAGCCAATCAGATCCAAGATCCTCCCCTATACTCCACCCTCTCCATCTATCCAGAGCCCAGCTGCATCAAATGAGCTCTAAACCCCAGTGCTGATACAGCAGATTTAGTAACATATGCAGTCATTATGATTCAGGCTAAAGGCTGTGGACATTTATCTAACAGCTACTCTTTAACTTGCTTCAATCAATATTGTGGACTGTGTGTTTGGTGTAAGTAAAGGTCTCATGTCTGAATGTGGTTTTGTCCTTGTGTAAATAAATACATTCTGGGTTGTCAGATTGTTGAATGTCTCTGTCTTATTACAGCGGTAAGGTTTTAACTTATAATGTACTCATTTACATGAGTACAGATCTCAGATCAGTGTGCAATAGTTAGCAAGCATCCACATTAAGTGCTAAAACAAGAGGAAGTTATCACAAAAAAAAATATGGGTGGGATTAGTTTGACGCCACTGTTGTAAACGATTAGCAACTCTTGACTTCCTTTGTTAAAACGAGGCTTGCATTTTTAACAAACAGTATTTGAGTTATAACGAATACAGAATCAGCTGAACTTCAAAGTTCTAAATGGACTGGAGACTTATTGATGAAAACTTCCATGTGCTGTGGATCTGGATCTTTCTGTCAGGTCAATTTTTGTTAAATGCTTTGACTTTTGTTCTACAGTGTGATCAAACCGGTACATCCACAGGTCTAGGTTTAAATATTATTTGCAAATCCCCTTTCTCTTTCGAAACAAGTTCACAACTACAAAGGCCAACTCTTGTCCACCATGCACATGCATGCTGGATGAATCACATTATCTAGGTCTATTAGTCCAAAAACTGGACTGCAAACACAGTGTTGTGTGACATTTTAAAATATAATTTTTTTTGTTTGACTGAAAATTTAAAATGCATGTAAAAGATCTTGTGTTATATCTATATGAATGCTCCAACTTAAAATGCTGATCTGCTAGCAGCTTTCTGGCACAAATTTTGAACATCATCACTAGTATTAACCACAAAACTGATCTCTGTGTTAGGGTAAAGGCTACTCATGCAACAAGAGTGAGAAACAGAGGAAATGGCCATTAGCCTCTCATAAAGGTCGAAGAATGCCTCTAATGTGCCCAGAATTTTAAAAAAAAGTGCATAACTTATTTTTGCCGTTTAAAACATTAGTATTAGTATGTGCTTGGCTTCATTTGTCTGTTTTAAATGTTTTTTTTACAATACAACTTTAAGCAACAGTATTTTTTTAAACCGTGCAAGTAAATCATTATGTATAATTGAGGAGAAATTATAGAAATACGGCAGCTCCACGACTAAAAGAGGGTGTTTGAGAATTACAAAGTTACTGCTGAGACAATAACAGAGGTCAGAAGTAACATTACCAAGAAACTGTATGGTGCCATATCCCATTTGTCCAGGAAGAGACCAGGAAGTCACACCAGCATTTTATAGATTTCACTGCATATGTTTTTAATGATCTCAAACTTTCAATTGCTTGTGTACTAAAACATTAGTACACATCATTCTGCTTAATAAAAGCACTATGTATGCTGTCTGCATTATTCTGTCCATGCAAAACTAGAGTTTATGAGCGGACAAAATAAACTACTGTACCAAAAACCATGTTATAAAATGGATAGTTCCGGTCCTTGATTCTGATTGGCTGAGCCAAGTTCAAAGCTGTTGTAAATTACTCTACAAACACACACCTTTGTTTACTTCTGTGTGTTTCTAGGCAACTACTTTGTTGGAACCACAACTGATTCTGAGGAACTACATTGTTTGGTGGAAGAATACTGTTTTTATTAATATCATTACACTTTATTTGCTCTGTTTTATTCTGTGAAACCTTACTACATATATGGAATAACCCTTTTATAGACGCAATAAGCCCTGCGAAGCCGTGGTTTACAGTGAATTTATAACAGCTAAGGGGGTTTTACTCCGCATCGTGTCATGCCTAACAACGCCCCCTAGCTGTTATAAATTCACTGTAAACCACGGCTTCTTGGGGCTTATTGCTTTAAAATGCTACAGCAGGGCTGTACTGACATGTAGACTAAATCAATTATGCCAATTACAAAAATAAGTCAATTTATGTGTATCGTGTCGATGTGTCGCACTGTTTACATTATTCCTTAATCCTCGGACATGATTCACACAACACAAGACTCACTAGAGCAGATGCTAATGGCTTGTATGCAGTTGCGTTTTGTTTTTTACGAGCGTGACCACCGCATTCTATAACACCTGGTCAAGTGCACCTTTTCAAGACTGCCTGCACTGAATAACGGAACAGCACTGGACAACTAGTTGTCTGCCATGTCATAAAATGTGAGAGATATAACCATGAGGGGTTTCACTTGTTCACAAAGAAATTATTTATGTTCATCCTAAGATCCCCCAGAGCTGCAGTAGGTGCGAGGCTCAACTGAACAGTCTATACTCGTGGTTACAAAGCATTTGAAGTTGTTGTTGGTTCTTTAAAATATATGATGCATAAACTCACACCTCAATTGGATTTATTTATATATATATTTAATGCGCTGTCAATTCCAGTGCTATGGACATCGCCATTCTTTGATACTGTTGCAATGGTTACCTGGATGCATTTGTGACTTAAGCTGTTCATTAATACAGAGCCTATATATTCAAACAGCATTCAAGTTGTTCATACAGATATGTATTCAACTTCAGTCTGCTTAATTAAGACACCTGTAAGCAAATGCTGTTGTCAATCCCAAACAGTGACTGTGAATGCAGCACAGACATTTCTAGATGCCTTTTAATACTTAGCGGGGGTTTTTTTATTTGTAAAGTACTTTATGAGAAAATTTTTAAATATAATTGAAATATTACTGTCAGAAGTTATGGTTATTATTTGATTATTATTGGTAGGTTAACTAAGGTTGAGGATTAATTTGAGTCAAATGGTTTTCTATTATTTCCTGTTTCATGTACATATACAAACACACACCACATCCTTCCAACTGATCTCAATCAAAATAATCCAACATTATTAAAAAATTAGGCATAAAACCATGAGAATGGCACATCCTTCTGTATTATATACATTATGTTGTTTATTTCATTCAGCAGGAATTGGGATTTTGGCCACAGATGGAACTGAGATACTTGGACACAGTGGAAAAACTGTCACAATTACATGTTCCCACAGCTGGGCTTCAACCAATAGCAAGTATTTCTGCAGAGATCCATGTAAATGGTATTTTAGTGAAATCTGACCAGTCACCTAGAGGAAGATACACACTGAAGGATTCTAGAGAAGGAACCTTCACTGTGAACATCACTGATCTACAGGAGTCAGACTCTGGGATTTACTGGTGCGGAGTGGAGAGATTTGGTTTTGACTCATTTAAGAAAGTCAGACTGAGAGTATCTAATGGTAAGAATGATGCATAGTATTTGGTGTAGATGTAAGGAAGTGTAAAATACTCATCTGCATGTTAATTACTATTACCCACAACTCCTAAACCAGCAGCAAGTTCTCAATCCCCCACAACAAAAAGTTCATTCTCTACATCTTCAGCATCTGGTGACATCACAGCCTCATCTTCATCAACAGGTAACACTGAGCTAATCGAGATATTATGTGCATTTATCTATGTATCTAAACAAATTATGGGATGATGTTGTTCCTCTTTTACTCTTAAAGGATTTAAAGGTCCTGTTCTTTCATCCAGACCAGCATTTAATGAGAACGGTGCACAATCTTGACTCTCCTCAGGTATAGTTAAGGATTATTTCTCTACACATTATAAAATGAAATGAACAAACATCGGCTGCCACATATTTGCATGTAATGTAACATTTTTTAAAAACTATTTAAAACACACAAAACACACAGAATTATGACAGAATTTTAAGGTCTGCCAGAAACATTTCATGACCAAGCTAACTTCCTGAACTGCAAACCCTATAGTTTCTATACCGCAACATCAGTGTGATTCTTTCGACAACCACATGACAAACATATGTCACGTTTTCCCTGTCTCTGTATATTTTAGGTCCTCTGATGTTCACAGCCGTCAGTCTGACTGTGTTGGTGATTTTATTTGGGGTGGTGGGTTGGAGAATGTCACACAGCTCCGACCGTAAGCACAAATGCATGGCACATTTTTTCTAAATAAAGTATTGCCTACAATATGACTAATGACGTTTTTTACTGTTTCCAATTTAAGTTGATGCTGAAATCCAAGAAAAACATGTACTACAGCACACTTACTACTTATCATAACTTTCAAAGTATGCATATTTTCAATAGTGTTTTCTAATAAGGCATTTGCTTGCACAAAGCATGACAAAACGTAATGGCAGAGCTGTTAGCTTTCTATTTGTTTGTCACTGTGTACATACATATATTGACAGAAAGAGAGAGAGAGAGAGAGAGAGAGAGAGCGAGAGCGAGACAGAGAGAGAGAGAGAGAGACTGTCCTCTAGTGGACCATTTGTGTAGCACGTTATTTATGGGCATAAATCCTCTTACATAGTGAATTGACTTGTGATTTTACATAAAATAAAGGTAGTCAGTTTGTTTATTTTTTCACATTATAATAAATCATGACTGGCTCAACAGACTGCTGGTGATTACAAGGAGATCACAAAGACCCAACTACAATTTAATAGGCACATGAACCGCAGCACTTATACAACAGTCATTTACATATGCAGCCATTAGCATACATGCTCACGGTTGTGGACCAAGTAAGGTCAGAAGACACAGTAACCTATGAAAATGTGCATTTTCCAAAAGTTACACTTTTACATGCTTCAAACAATACTGTGGACTACAAACTGTGTGTTTGTGTAAGTATAAGGTCTCATGTCTGAACCTGTTTTTTCTTCTTTTTTTCATTGTGTAAATATATTTGTTGGCTGTCAGACTGTTGAATGTCTCAGTGTCTTAGCATGTACACTGTTACACTGAGAAAACATTTCACACCGATTTAGGATCAGATTGCTTAATGTGCAAAGACTCATTCCAATCATGAACGAAAGCACCAACACTTACCTCAGATCAGTGTGAAATGGTTAGCATGTCTACA